AGCCTTTTGGCCATATTCCGACGAGCTTTTATTTATTGAGCAGGACTGGATTAAGCCCACCTCCCAGGTGGCTGCTGCCCTTCCTTCGACGCGCTTGAAAACCTTCTGCCTTGAGGTCGCTGATATGTACCGTGTCTTCCGAAGAGGTATATGGCATGGATTTGTCGAAGCCATACTGCTTTCTCCCTCGTTAGAATTTTTGGAGTTCGACCATGCTCCCTGGATCTCCGATTCGGAAAAATTCCTTTCCATTAGCTTGCGCCACACTGGCATTCGCCAATTCGTCTATTGTTCCCCTTTCTCAGATGACTCTCGGTTCCGTCCTGAATACGGTAGGAGGAGACTAGAGCAGCTGGATGTAGAGGTTCATAACCTTGGTATTTTGCTCGATGCTTTTCGAGAGGCGTTAGAGGTGCTCGAATTGCCAGCTGAGCTAGCAAGGTACCTCCTACTAGAGCCATTTCCCTCCTTACAAGAGCTTGTCATTCATGGACGAGACTCTTCTGCTGCCTTGCATTCCCTCTGGTCCAACGCTAGTTCTCCTTCCTCACGTTTCCGGAGACTAGATCTCCGAGTCGTGCATGAACCCATTGCGGCGGAAGTCTGTACGAAGGCACGCCTGAAGGATAGACTCTCAAATCTGCAAGCCTGACTCTGACTAATCCTTCCCCTGAAGATGTAATCTTCGCCGCTTTACCCGCAGATCTCTCGTATCTCAGTTTAAATTCCTATCCTGCCCCGTTTCTCCTATCTGAATGTATGATACCCATCGAAATACTCTCCTGTGCTGGCCTGCAAAGCATCCTGCAATCCCGTTCATTTGGAAACTTGTGGACGCTGGAGATATCATACAGGCTGGAGTCGTCTGATGCTAAAGAAGCTCTGCTCCACCTGATCCCGCGTGTCTCACCTGAGCTACGATGCCTCGAGCTCAATCGCTATATTGGGAAGGGAATAGAAGAGGACGTCGATATCTCAGTACGTCACCAGCTCTTTTAAGTATCTGTAACGACATTTGTGCAATGACTTGACTACTACAGACTCTTCCTCTTCTCCGATATCTCGTCGAGTTGCGTCTGAATATCGAAAAAGCCGATACGGATCCGCGGAAGCAGCTCGATACCACAAATCCAGCTTCTGTTCCTCTGGATCAGCTGACTATCAGCATTCCCTCGCTCCAGCGTACATTCAGATTACGTCCAGGCCTCTCACCACCCGACTAGCTAGTTGCCTTGTGGAAATGGGATGACTATCGGATCTCTCGTTCCTGTGGGTCAGTAATTTTCGGATAGTATGCATGGTAGGACGGGAATTGCGATGCTTCCTCCATGAGTTGCAGATAGCAAAAAACTTGCATGCCGCTAATAGGAAAACTACTTTAGCAGATCACAGCATTTGCGATCCAATTTTGGCCTTATCGAATGCTTGAATCGTCGTCGGCGACTGGTAGCACGAACAATTTAGCGGTCAGATTTACGCAGGCATGATGTATCAACCTTAAATGATTTTCGACGTTGTCTTTTATGCGAAAAACTATGAACTTCAAGTTTGACCATGGCTAATTGTTCAGTCTTCAGTCTTGACTCCTCTGCAAGCTGATACTAGTACTACGACACGGATGCAAGAGCTATAACACTGACAGGGCTAACAGCTTTCCACAGTTTGTGGCCCTCTGATCGATGCAGTAGCAACGTAAATCAGACGTGTTTTAGCGTCAATCGCCGTGAATTATCATGCATTGTTGTATATGTAAAATACTATCAGATCTTGCACAGAATGCTGTTCCTTAAGATGCACCCTCTGAAAATTGACCATGGCTGCCTGAATCTTGTCTGTGTCGATCTCGGAGCGAGCTGGATGGAGCAAAAAGGTAGTCGGCACGTAGCTGGGGGTCTCCCTGGATCCTAGAACGATTTCACGTCGAGCGAACGGGCACAGAGGTGTACGCCCTGCGAGATTTACAAGAATATGGATAAACAGACAGATAAATTACGAGCCATTTGAATGCATGGAATCCCAAATTCTGACATTTCTGGTCAGCGGGAAAGACGAGGACACGACGACGGCCCTACCGATACCGATGATTGGGCCTTCGTCGATTTTACGGGAGAAAGGTGAACCATGCTAAGATGAGATATATTACAAAGGTTGTCAATATTACTGAAGAACCCGAGTAGCGATGCAGCGACACAGGACAACGTGGCGGTACAGAGGGATATATGTAAACATGGGCCACCACCTACTTCCACCCTTTTTCGACTACGATGGTAACACGACACAAATTCACTTCCATTCCTACCCATGCTACAAGTCCTTTCGAATGTGTCGGTCTGTGTCATCTCAAATTGCCAGTGCAGCAAGAGCACCCAACACCCCTGACAACAATCCGTTGTAGGTGTTACCTACAGCAGCATTGGACGCTGAAGGAGATACGCTGGCAGACACCGCTGCACTTGAAGATACAGCGGAGCGGCTGGTGCTCGATACGCTAGATATGGTGATACTTGACGGCTCTGAGAAGGTGGTGGAAGGGGTCAAGAGACTGGTCGTTTCGATAGAAGTGGACAGGGTCGAGAGACTGGTTGTTGCGACGGAAGTGGATAAAGTCAAGCTACCTGACGAGGAGATTGACGACGTCGATGAAACTGTGCTTTCCGTAGAGCTGCTGCTCGCACTCTCCGATGAGGATCTCGATACCGGGCCAGGCCCCCCCGATATCGGTATCGCAGTTGTTGTCGATGGAAGAGGGTCCAAGCTGGTCGAGCTGCATGGTGGTGAGTGCTCATTTCTTTGGACTTGCTTCATTCGACTTACGGAGTAGGTAGCACCGACAGCGTCGACGTTGGCTCGACATCGCTATCGCTAGTCGAGATGGGCTCGATGGTGAATGTCTGTGCTGCGACCCAGGCTGCGGACGCCAGCAATACAAGCGCGAACTTCATGATGGTCGAAGGATGGCCGGCCAGCTGATGGGGGAAGCAGTTCTTCTATATGTGATGCCCCGGTTGTCGCTCCCCTGACATCTCGCAATGGTCATTTCTTACGTTGGGCTACTCAATCGATGGCTTCAGTTCCCCATACGTCTGCGGGAAGTAGCAGAGTCGTCATATTGACCGCAAAGCAACCCATCTTTATGCCATTGACCGGATTGTCCTGACCGTATTCACTCGGAGCAGTTCCCTCATCACCCATTCGCCTTGGGGCCAAACGACCGAGGCCCATTCCACCGATGGTCATTCATTAAATCGTAACCCGTACGTGAATGTAGGTCTAGAGTGACGGGCCGTGTTCCGCATGGTGGTCGCCGCAATCCAAGTCACAAGCCAGTTCTTCCCAGATATCCCACCGAAGGCGGTCTATCTTCAGATAAGATCATTTGCCCCCACAATCTTTCTTGTATACAACTTCCCATCGTCGTCCGTGTCTTCCCAATGAACGTCGAGTATCCTCGGTCACCCGATGTCTGAACCCAGTTATTCTACGTGCAGCAAGTAAACAATTGCCTCTTGTGCGCCAGTTCCTGTAAGGAAGACATTCTGTCTTATAATAGGACCGCTCCAGGCTGGTCATATTTATCCTTATATGGATTTTTTCATCTCGCCGAAAGAACTGACAGCTACCGTCGTCAGAGGTTTTCAGCCGTACTTTAGGATGCAGGCAGTGAGCTGATGTCACATGGGGTGAGGGGGGGTAGGCCGGTTAACGAAGCCCATCTGCTCAGTTGTTATAGCCGTTAACTTGCATAATTAACAGCTCTTATATCTGTACACAAGGGTTCTTCTGAAGAGATTTCTGGATGACCCGGGCAAAAGCCTTCGCTTGTGAATCTGAATCTACTTTCCAGTATAATGCTCTATTATCAGCATGGCCGTACGTGTCATACTGGGTGTGGCCTACGGTATGGACATCCGAGATGACGATGACTATTACATTCAAACGGCAGAGAACGCTATGGCAGGATTGGCCGCTGCGGGAAATGCAGGATCATTCCTTGTAGATTCGTTCCCCGTGTTACAGTACCTTCCGTCCTGGTTCCCAGGAGCCGATTTTAAGAGGAAAGCCGCGGATTGGAACTTGTCGGTCAAGGCCATGCCGCATGTAACCATGAAATTCGTACATGACTCAATGGTGAGGTCGCAGTCTGCTCTCATCTTCTCACTTAACGACAGACAGGACTCTGATACTCTGAGCCATTCTATTGCATACAAGTATATGGAAGAAAAACCAGTGCGTTCGCCAGAGAAGGAAGAGATCTTGCGCAATGTATTGACAACCTTGTATGCTGGTAAGAGGCTGCTAGGTCCATTTGATATTGTATCTCATTCCCCTTATCCTTCCTAGCTGGATCCGACACCGTAAGTGTTCGTCACTAATGCGTGTCCCGCCTACTGAAATTCCACCTCTCAGACGGTTTCCGCTTTGAGCTCATTTTTGCTGGCCTTGACACAGAATCCTGACATTCAAAGGAAAGTGCAAGAGGCGATCGACGATGTCATTGAGTGTCGTAGACTCCCAGAATTTTCCGATTACAAGTCGATACCCTATATCAACGCCATTCTCAAAGAAGTCCTTCGGTGGAGAGCAGTTACGCCCCTTGGTAGGTCCATCCATCAAAGATTGGGCCGATTGTTAATGTGTGGGTTAGCCGTTCCGCATAGTGTTTCTCGAGACGATGAATATCGAGGATACCATATCTCCAAGGGTTCTATAGTCGTGGGTAACGCATGGTGCGTATCGGTTGTTCTGCTCCCGTCTCGCTTAGCGTTCAGTCTCCCTATTAGGGCTATGTTGATTGACATCTCAGTTTATGGAGAAAGCCCTGACGTTTTCAATCCAGATCGGTTCTTGAAGGACGGAAACATAAATCCAGACATCACCCACCCCCAGGAGGCTTTTGGTTTCGGGCGGCGGATCTGTCCAGGGCAGGAGGTGGCTGAGGCATCTATCTGGATGAATATCGCGTCGATCCTAGCTGTGTTCGATGTTACCAAGGCAGTCGATGATAATGGCCACGTCGTCGAGCCATCGGGAGAGTTTATGTCGGGTATGCTGTGGTACGTGGACTCTCTCCCATGATGTACTCATCGTTTATCTCGCGTCACTGCAGTCACCCTGTTCCATTTGAGTGTGAGATCAGGCCAACGACAATGCACGCTGTATCTTTGATTCAGTCAGGCATCCATGGTCTCTAGGCATCGACTTCAAGTCGACCTGAGAAGTACGAAATCCTTCGGTGCGCTGGTCTGATTTGGATATTCCTTACTAGTCCCATATATGGACACGTTCTTTTATATATGAAAAAAGCATAACTGTCGCCTTCTATACATGAAAGTCAGACCCGTTTTGAATAACACGAACGAAAGATACAGTTCGTGAGTGCTTGGGAACGAAGGTTCATTCCAGACCGACAGACTGACGCCCCTTGCCTTCCACCATCATGGCCTTTCTTCTGCCTACCTACAGCGTCAGCTGCCTCGACTCACATCGTCCAAATTAAACTTAGGACGTTGCTTCATCTGCCCACGGATTCGTCACGCTGGTATAGATGTCAAAGCAACAACGGCATTCGACATTGGATCTCCTTGCTTGCATGCTTGACCTGCGATCACTGAGATGCTGATGGTAGCGATGGACTTTGTTGAGCAATCAATCGTGAGTCTCATCTTTCTCTCAGAGTTAGAGACCTTTCAGAGAAATGGATCGCCTAAACCCTCTGTTGTGTATAAATATGTCTCCCAGATGAAGGCTGATGATGCATGAACAAAGGAAGCCGAGGAGATCATAAGGGGAACAATGGCTTTGTTCTATGCAGGCGAATGTTCACGAGTATTACTATTTCATGAATGCTGACATTCAGTGTGTAGTAGGCAGCACGGATACTGTAACATACCCAAGTATTGCTGACAGTATCCTAGACGGTTTCTACTTTGTATTCCTTTATATTGGCAATGGTCCTGTATCCTGGAGCCCAGAAGAAGGGGCAAGCTGCAGTGGATGAAGCCACTGGATCAGGACGATTACCCGGTTTCAACTGCTGCAAATCAAGACCCTAACTTCAAGTTATCATCAATGAAGTTTGCGATGGGTGCCAATAAAGGTGCAGTTCCTTAAACAGAAGCATGCACCAGGCTAGTTAGCATCTAAAACTATATCTCGTCGTTGTAGTGAGGATAATGGGTATCCGTATCGGCAGGTGCAACTCTCATGGATAACGTTTGGTTAGTCTAAGACACCTTTCTCGCTCAATTTTTGCTGATAAAATCCAATCATAGGGTATCGCTAAATGACGAGTCTACTTATGGCCCGCAGACATCCAAATTTATAATAACTCTGACGGGTTCATGAAAGATGGGAAATTGAATTCCGCCATTCTGTTCTCATCCGAATCTTTTGGCTTCGGTGTTGGATTAGCAAGCAGGAGCTCCGTCGTATCCCGCCGGCCAAGCTCGATACCCCTTTATGTCGGGATGGACTATATATATTGAATACGGTCTGTCGAGCACCCTCACCGCGTTTCTGCTTATCGCTACGCTGTGTGAGGTCTACGTTATAGCTAACAGCATACTCTATTAGGTGCTACAAACGCGCGTCACTTTCTTAGAGGTTATACGGCCCCGAGAATTACTCTATCCCATCCTTCATACTCAAATGACTTCCGCCATTGCTGCCTTGACTACAGGCCTACCATC